AAAATTTCTGAAGTCCCCTCCCCATCTAAAATTATTGCCCATCCCTGGTTTAACCGATACCATTGACAGTTGGTTAAACTCTGACATTCCTAGTATATATGGTCACCATAGAAATGTATTAGCAGAGAATACAGTATTATCCCTGAAACAGAACCAGACTATTTTAGTAAGATGAGGGCCTGAAACTAAGCCCAGGTATCACAGGTCTGATGTGAGGCCTAGGAACAATAGCCAAGACTTTGCTCAGATCAAAGTCAAGTTACGAGCAGGAAGGAAAGCTTAGTTAATAAGATTAGCATAAATAAGATAGAGGGTATCAAAACAATAGAGGTCAGTTAGAGGTTGTAAACACATTTTAGGAGGATGCTAACACAAGGAAGGCTCCACTGAGACACATCCAACCTCCTCCCCAGCATACCGACCCAGGATCATGACCAGGTCTAAACTGACAGCATGATGATCAAATCTCCTTTGTATGAAGTAAGGGAGGCAACTAAGCAACAGGAGGTAGAAACCTGATACGTCAGGAGTGATGCATAACTTGTTTGTACCTTTGTATAAAAGTGAACCCCAAAGAACTGTCTTTGTCCAGCCGAGGGGGAAGTGTGTTATCCCTGGCACTGACTGAGCTGAGTCCATTGTAATGGGCATACATATATTAGCCTAACTGTAGACCCTTTGGTCTGGGGAAGCTAGGACTTTACATTGTCTACAATAAACCTGGCTGGGTGCATTCGATCCTTATCTGATTTTGTAGTCTTTGGGAGCTTCCTTAAAGTCTGCTGTGTTGACTTATTGTGGAGGGTCAACACAATAAACGGGAGCAAAAACATGAAAGCACACAGCTGAACAGTTACCATCACTGACAGAGCAAAAACCTGACTGCTACATCTATTATAGGAATGTGGTCTGTATAGGAAGAAAACTTTCAAAGATCTGTATGTTCCTTATCTAATTAATTATAACATGAAAGATAGAGAATAGAAAAACCAAATACCTTGTTTGAATTGCTGCTGACGTATACAATATATCAGACAAAATCATGCAGAGTAAATCCTGAACAAAGCTGTCTCCAGATTTTATTTTCAGTAAAATATTAATTCAAAATACAAATGGAATCCGATCATTTAGATGTAACTTTATTAAGTTGAACTGTTGGAAATATTAGAGCTGTCTCACTATTAAAGTAGACCAGTCAGAAACAACTGATATTTAGATTACAGGAAAGTATCCCCATTTTGTAAGCATTCATTCTTGTGAGCAACGAACACTGCCAACCAGCCAAGGATAAGTAACCAGATGAGAGAACCTCAGAAGAAAAATTGTGCTCACTGGGCATTTGGTAAGAGAGGAGATAATGAAAAATGCTAAGCAGAACTACCAGAGAAGTATGAGAGATGTATATAAACATTTCAGATTATTCCTGAATGAAACGTTATAATCAATGCCTAAACAAGAGTTAAGAATACCTTAGTTATACTTTTTACAAAGTCTGTATACGTCCCTTTTTGAAAATTAATCAAGAGAGACCACAAACTTAGGAAATCATCAACACAGAGAGGGCAAGTCATGTTTGACATTATACAGACTATAAGAACAGATCAGACCTCGGTACTACGGTTCAAAAACATCATAAATATACAAGATACATATATATTATATACCGTACACATGTATGCAACATTCAATAGTTGTGTAGAGGCATGACATAGAAGGCACATTTTACCTTTCATCGTATTACAAAATGATTAATGATAAACTAAAAAAATAAGTCACCTAATATAAGGCTATATTTTGGAGTTTGCTTGTTTGTGCTTTGTTTTTCATTTATTTATTGCATTCACTAATTTTAAGGCCATCTTGGCTGCAGATGCATTCATAGCTACGGTCAGACTAAATTTTTGGACAGCTTTTTGTAAGTTTAATGTTTTTCATTTTTGTATTAGTGTCCAGCTGTTATGGACACACACAAATAATTAAGAAAATCATTCCAAAATATTACGTTAATTAAGCATTCATTAAGATTTAGTTAACTGCAGCTACATCAAATGTACTACGAAAGATTTTCTTTCAATGGTATGTCACTACCAAAAGAATCACTGATAGACTGTTTGACTCTTACTTCCTTTCTGCAGAAATAATCTCTCTCTCTCTCACACACACACACACACACACACTATGTTTCTAAGGCAGTACAGTAATTCTGGTCCAAATATCATACCCTGAGGATATCAAGCAAGAACATTGGGCTATTGATATGTTTCTAAGGCAGTACAGTAATTCTGGTCCAAATATCATACCCCGGTAAGTCAGTTTATACTTTTAATGGATGGTCATCTTTAACACACACACAAAAATCAATGTCTAGAAGCCAAAACACAGTACTGTGAACACAGATTACTGGGTATTATTCTCATCTCTGCCACTGACTTGCTATGGCACTTTGGCAGTCACTGTCTGTGTTTAACTCAGCCATCTATAAAAGTAGCATAGCAGGGTCTAGACATTTTATTTGTATTTGTAAAGTACTCAGATACTTAGCTAAAAGTACTGAATCTCATTAAAAGAGTACAAACATCAACACATCTTTAATTTAAGATGCAACTTTACTTCATGGCATCTTTTCTGAATTTTTCCACCAAACTTAATTCTAGCAATCTGATGGAAGAAGACAAATATAATTTATTATAGTCTCTATTCCATTTCCTAAAAATATTTTCCACTGCAACAATACCAATTTACTAGAAATTAATTCAATATGATGAAAGTCTGAGTTTTTACATTTACAAAAAAAATCTTGTTATTCTGAATTCAATATGCTATTGTTCAATACACTAATGGGTGGAGGTACAATTTAAATGCATGCTAGGCTAAAACAACATAAAATATCACAATTTTTGCGTTAAGTTTTACGTATGCATTAACCATTGGATAGGACAGCTACAGAGTCAGTATGGATTAGGTTTATGAGATCTGTTTTACCCTCCCACCCTTACCACCTTAGACAGTAAAAAGACAGGCTGTGGGATGAGGTAATGGAAGTTTATGTGGTGGGGAAAAGTGAAAGAAAACCTTCAATTTTCGTACAGCACTTTTAACTTGTGACCTTTCTTCACAAATTCTTCCTCTTTTCGGTGTCTGTGCAATTTACAAAATGTATGTTTTATGACATCTTTCATAGGCACAAATTTAGAATTAGTTCAGTTACTTATGACAAAAATTGTATGCTTCTCTGCACTAGTTACTCTATTACATACTGAGATTTCTCTTCTAGTAACAAAATATTAACTGATTAAACATTAACCTACCCCCTGTAGAGAGAATCTCATTTGAAACAAATTCCAAACATTATAATCACCAAGTTATCCCAGTTTTTGGGCAGACAATCCAGTTCACCAGTTATTTTATTCAGCATCCTCTTTTTCCCTCACTTACCCCACTCCTTCAGACTACTACCAATGGTATTAACAATATTAAAATATAAGTTCTGTGATAGTCATGATGAGTAAAACATTGCCAGGAAACTAATAGAGCAATTCTAGCTGACAGATTCTTTAAAAAGTAAAAATAAAAACCCTACACCTTTTATATTTAGAACCTGGTTAACTATTGGCATAAGTCTTGCTAAAATAAAATGTTTCATCTAAAACATGTCCAGAAATATAGTGCATTTATTTGGAATTCACATCTTCCTTACCATGTCCTCAAGTTCTATCATTTTTCATCTTTAATTATTCTAAATTACAACATTCCAAGTACACTGATTATAAATTATCAGAATCCAGTAATAGTATGAAACCAGATTTTTTTTCCTTCCATTTTGTGTTCCTGTTGTCAAAGATTACATTTTCTAACCTTGCTTACTCAGTTACGCAGTGCACTTTCAAGTAATTCAGAAGGTAATAAAAAGCACTATGTTTACAGGCTTAGAATGACTGATCCCATGCATAAAGAGAAATATTTTCATTTGTGAAATAATATATGAATGATGAAAAGCTCTCAGTCTTCTGTTATGGTTTTTGACAAATGCAGCCTTAAGAGTTAAAAAAGAATGAAAATAAAGTACTGTATACAGTATTTAGAGTATCACACAATAATAAGTGGCACAAAATTACATGGCTTGCACAGGCCATGATAAGTGCATGCTAATAATATACTCCTGTTCCTCCTCTTTAAAAAAAAAAAAAAAAAAAAAAAAGCTAGATTAACCATCATGTAGGTATTGTTCTAAATATTTAAGAAAGTAAAATAGCACTTTTTAAAACTTCCATAATAGCTCTAATTCAATTCAGATATGCTTTAGTCTCACTGAAATGTAAGTATAGTTTGCAGCTCAGTTTGAATAAACCAAAAGATATTCAAAATCACTAAATATATTACACAACTGTGAAGGAGACACCCCCGCTACATCTGCTTTAAAAATAATACTTTCTATTCATGGTATTTTTTTCAAAATTTTTCCTTCAGTTTCATAGAGGGGGGACATAATTCAAAACATCTTGGAACAAAATCACATGAAATAATAGTCAAATGCATAAGAAATCCTAAAACCAACATTAACATTATCCAACACAGTCACATGAATCTAATAGATTACTGTTTTCAAAACTAAGATCTTTTTGTTTAATTAACCTTTAAATTGTTTGCCTTAAGAGCATTACATTATTTAGGTGTATTGTTTAGTGATATGGTATAAATAACATATCAGTACAAAAATCTAGATCAAATCACAATTTAAAGGACTCGGATATTCCAAAAAAAATCCAGAAATTAGATGGTTTCGTGCAATTCTGAAGTCTTCCATTTTATGAACATCCACTTTGCTATGCAGCAAAATACTGTCCTACTTCTAAAAAAAAAAAATCTGAAATGCATTCCCTGAGCTGCAAGGACTAAGTATTTCCAGTAGCCCAGAACATTCAAGATTGCCTCCTACTCTTCAGTGTTCACCGTAAAGCAAAGCTTTATTTCAATACCAGTAATTCTAATAGCGTTTATACTTAGGGTGTTTGTGATGAAGCAGCGGAGCTGCGACGTAGTACCGTCAGACAGACTTTGACACCTGTATTAGCATTAAGAGAGATTTGTACGAACTGAGGGTAACCCATTTTGCACGAGGGTCAGATGAAGGCAATCCGCGGCTTCATGAAAGAATCCCTTGCAACCCCTGCGAGACCGGACATCTTCGGAAAGCAGAGCTCATCCACATCTGGAATGGGACGTGCTGGGAACGGGCAGGGGGTGGGGAATAGGTTTCAGAGCCAGGGTATTGCAAGCGCCCTCTCTCAGGACCGTTCCTCGCGTCCCGGGCCGCTAGAGGGGAAGCGCAGAGCGGGACAGCCCAGCAAGAGCAGACATGCTGTCCCCCAGGGGTCAAACTGCGATTGTCCCGGGTACTGGGGGGCCTGCGGAGGCAGAGCCTCGGGCGCTCCGCAGCGGAACAGCCCCTCCCGCCCTTGTCTAGCAAGCGGCAGGGCCCCGGGCGGTCGCCGCG